ACGCAATCTTCTACCGGATGAGCAGGAGAATGAATATTTTTATGTATGTTTTCCATGAAATATAATTTAATTTTTAAGGGCGTCGAAAATCAATGGGAAAAATGCATGCTACTTAAGTACCCACTTCTTACGGAGTATGGTTTTTACATGCAGCCGGAAATACATTCATTCAAAAGCCGGCATTCTGAGCTAACTGAATCATCATAGAATTGTGCTGCACGATGATTAATTTTACAACCCTGCTTAATTAATCTTTTCGAAACGAAAAAGCATTTCGGAATTTCGGTTGACATTTCATGAGTTAACCCACCTACTGTACTCCCATTGTTAATCAAGTGGATAGAAAAGGCTTGCACCGAGACCAACCGATGTCACTGAAATTCGGTCCTTTGTCCGTGCGTGCTCGGTTCATGCAACCTCTGACAACTTTGCATACTAACTCTCAGCCAAAACATATCGCCTTTGTAAAGGTCCTGGTAATGAATCTGGCGAATTTGTCTCATTTGCGGGACCAGTGGCAAATATGGCACTCAACTCCGTGAAATGCGATCTCGCTCCTCTTAACCGTGGTGTAAATCAGTTTGTGTTGGATTACGGAAATTATAAATTCCCGATCTCCTTCTAGCTATCAGACGTTTGCCGTTTCGCAATTACCAGTTGGAAACAGTAGACTTGAAAAAAGGAGACCAGGTAACTAAAACGGGATCCAAGCTCCACGCGTTTTGAAATCATTCTCGAGGATGCTGTATTTGCTGGATTCAGTGACTAGGCCAGCAGATGGTTGCTAAAATTAGTAGATTTCCGAAAGCCCCAATCTTTTCGCAATAGCAATCCTTTCGACGGACGAGAACGTCAGGGAACAGGGGCTGTGTGTCCTCTTCTTCCGTAGCGAATTATGATTCCAGTATAACGACGTGGTGATATTATTTACGCACTAACAGGCTGGGGCAGACGAAAGCATGATCTGCATACCAAACCCAATGTTTCGATCCTGAGTTTCGAAACACCAGCAATTTCAAATCTTTTCAAGACCGTCTCGCTTGTGTGTACAGCGATCAGTGGACCCATTATTATTACCTTTTGACCCCTCGCAAGTCTCGATAGAATTTGAGGTGCATTTTGCGACATGGCTTCAAGGGTTAATGACGTTGAGCATATCCGACTTACCCTATCTCCCCTTTCCCCTTTCCAGAGGTGCTTCGGCGTTCTCAACTGTCAGGTCCCAGAAATCAAAAAAACAGATATGGCGCCTTAAACGAAAGCCTGACCTCCTACATTAAGAGACCTGCTCACAACAAATTTTGTTGACGAGCTGATTACTATGTCCGGATCTACTATCCAAAATCTAGGATGCCAAAACGACTACTTTTTTATTAGGTAGGTCGGAGTACATCTGGAGGGACGTGACGGGTCAGAAGATGGGGTAGATGATGAAAGTTGTTATTGTTGACACTGATGCCGCTTACCGCGAAATTACCATCCCCCATTAATACATCGGTGGTGGGTGCATGAACTACTGAATTAGGTGGCAGTGTGGGTAATCAGTAAGTGCATCCTATAGATCCTGTCCCTGTCTACATTGTCGATTTCAATTTGTTTTTTTCTCTGATGTTGTGTTCAAATACTAATTCAGTGTCTTAGGCGAGTGAAATTCTTGTTTCAGCAAGCAAATACCCCCATTCACTACTACTTCCTGATATTTGCCTTTTCGCAGGTGTATTGGGCAGTTTTGTGTTTGGGGGATTTAGGCGGCATCACGTCTCTAAAGACTTCTGGACAAGGATCTCGTATGTAAGTTCACTGAGAAAATAGAGCTTAGGGGCTTCTTTAAGATGCGAGAGATGTTCGTACTCGTTTCATCAGTAGGGAAGACGAGTGAGGCAGTTAACGAAGACTATGGATGGCGTTGAAAATATTCGCATTTCTGGCGCAGATTTGTTTTAGTATTCGACGATGTGTCGGAACTAACGCGCAATCCGAAGGATGTGAATCAAGAGCTCGTGGACGGGCGGAAAGGGGGATTCCGTGGTTATTGGTTAATGACGGCCGGATTGCCTAATTCGGCTGGCAAACTAAACCTTGACCCCAGCCCTACCTCAGATGTTTGACTTAACCCTAAGCGTAGCCCTCTACCTAACTCTAATCTAAGCCCTAAATTCTAGTCCTAACTGCAAAGTCGGACCGCCCCTCCTAAGTACTAGTTTTAGCTCTAAATGCCTTATCGCGGTAAGCCCTAAAATAACGTGCCTACTCAGGCCGACTAAGTAGGTGTGTTTTCGCAACAAAAGCATTTACTTGCACACTGGACCCTCGCCGACCTCTGTTAATGTGATGTAAGAGTTTTCAAATACAGTAAAGGCAAGCGGAAGAGGAGCGCTGATTTCCATTTATGGTTGTAATGCTACCGTCAGTGGGCCACATCCCTATCCCAACCCGGGAGAACCTGTTGATCGTGTTCGGGTGCAGTTGGCGTTTCGGCCGGACGTTTTGCCGCATGAGCGATGTCCTCATTCGTTTTCGGTAACCACATGGAAATGTAAGTCCCTTAGAACACGCTTTTCCTGACACGGTTTGCTTGCCTTCGAGTCCCGGTATAGAACACCCACAGGCCTTCACGTCCGCCCCTTTCGCGGGATATCTACCTCGATGAAGTCCAGTCAACCCTTACAATGGCCACCTCTATGGTGTATATTACTTTCCCATTACAAGTCTGGCACGCCGACGCACTCATTTTTCAACGTTTTTAATAAATCTGTTCTGCTCTACACCTTCGAGAAGGTAGCAATGACTTCCACGTGATGCAGCCTGATAGAGCATGACTTGCTCACCGTTGGTCTCCTTCTTCCAACCCCAACCAGGTTCCAAGAACGAGACCAATACACAATGAATGAATATGAGTATGAAACTAACAAGCCTGTGTTTATAGCGTCAAAATAGCCAAGGACAAAGACGGGAGGTTGTAGAAAAACGGCATGTTAAGCGTGCTCACAGTAGGCCTTCCTATAGTGTTATTTTAGCTCACTTGGGGCACTCTGTTTCCTGCATCTTCGCCCCTTCGGGAAGGATGGGATGTCGTCCGCTTCTTCGAAAACGTGACATGTAAACTTTTGTGGTATCCCTTCAGCAGGTCAGTTTGTGGAGAAGCTGAAATTTTGCTTCTTAGACCTAGGCAGGCATCTGCGGTGGTTTTTATGTGTGCTGCGGGTTTTCAGCATTCTACAGTCCCTAACAGGATGCTGTGCATCTTTAAACCATTGAGTCAGTTAAGTTTGTGCAACAGCAAAGAAACGAAAATATAAACGAATATTTCGATTTTAGCCAAGCCATACAGTCGGCGCACCTTTCGATTTTGTCTTCCGTTTTGCCCAACTATACCAAATTCCATTTTGCAAATTTTGCGAGGTGAACTGCGGTTGGGCGCTCTCTCGCTGACCCGCGGACTGTTTGAGGAGTTCGGCCATAAATTTTGCTTAATTCAAGTTTCTGTGAGACATTCAACCAGCGTTCTAAACATTAATTCGCCTTCCTCTCCATCCGAACATTTCTAGAAAGTCACTCTGATTGTCACCGTTGTCGACTACGATCGGATCGGCACGTCTGAGGCTATTGGTCGTGTTGTTTTGGGCTGTAATGCCCAGGGCGCTGGCCTCCGTCATTGGTCGGACATGCTAGCCAATCCGCGACGGCCGATCGCGCAGTGGCACACACTGCAAGAGATGCCGGAAAAGGGCTAACTGGACGCCGCACACTCAAGCCCTCCGCCGCCACCACTGCACCATCTACCGTGGGGTCCATGCGATCTCGGCAGAGCTGCCATCAAACGAATTATCTCTCTGAATGTCAAGTCGAACTTTCCTTTACTGATTATCTCCTCCTCTCCCAACCCCTCCTCACGTTTCAAGCTGTAAGTGGGAGTCTCCAACAGCATTTCAATTGCGTTCGCCGTGATGTATCCGCCCCGTGTCAATTTTGCTTTCCTAGCATCTGTCCAGCGGCCCTTCCCAGTCAACTGGAAGGTCTGATCTCTATGCTAATACTGCTATTCGTGGAGTCCAGGTATTACCCAATGTTGGACTAAATGTAAAAGTTTTTAAAATACGTGAGCATGTCATGTATGCTCACGTACCCAATCATGCATCCAAGGAATTGTCTCTCCCACTCATCTCTCACTATCGCAGTCACTGTCTAGAACTCGCACTTCCCCACCCCCCTGTTTTCTGCTGGTCAAAACGTGCCGTGCGTTTTATCTTGGACTTGTTCTATCTCCCCTTTGGCCTAAAGTAGGCATGTGTGCTCGTGCGCAAGTGCCCAGACTGTTGTCGCGCCCTAGTCCCCACCTCCCCCCCCCCTAATTCTCGCCGTAACCCGCTGCTCGCACCACTTTCTGAGATTTCCTCCCTTCCTTCAGTCCACTGACCTGCTTAACACTAGAGTTTCATACGTACATATTACATAGAATTATCGGAGAAACAATCATTAGAACCAGCTTCCCCTGGTCTCCCTTACTTATATTGGCACTCAATTAAGCACGCCGAAGGGGCAACTTGCCTTCTCCTTCTCTCTGTCCTTTGTCGTTTGACACTCTTGTATTAAAGTCGGTTTGATTGTAATTATTTCATGGCCTTTCTGCTACTGACCTGGGTTTTTGCCGTGACAAACAGTTGTCAGCAAACCGCTGTCTGTACTCGATGGGCAGCAGGCAGCATACGTCGCACTAAAAT